TGTTCTCTCTGTGCAGGCCAGTCAAGTTCCTCCACCCCAAACTCGTTCATCCATGTCTTTATGGACCTTGTTTTGTGCACTGGTGCGTAGCCATGTTCGAAAAGGAAGTGGCCATCCCCAAACTGTTCCCACAAAGTTGGGAGCATGAAATTGTCTAAAATGTCTAGGTATGCTGATGCCTTAAGAGTTCCCTTCACTGGAACTAAGAGGCCAATCCCAACCCCTGAAAAACAACCCCACACCATAATCCCCCCCTCCACCAAACTTTACACTTGGCGCAATGCAGACAGGCAAGTACCTTTCTCCTGGCAATTGCCAAACCCAGACACATCCATCAGATTGCCAGACAGAGAAGCATGATTCATCACTCCAGAGAACACGTCTCTTTCTATTAACCGCTTCCATACTGGGCACTTTTACCCCTTCCTGCCCAGGTCAATTGTAAGGTTTCAGCGCTCTGACACTTTGAATGACAATTGCGCGGTCATACAACATTGTACCCAAACTAAAATTTTATAATTTTCTTCACACAATTAGAGCTTTCTTTTGGAGGTATTTAATCACTGCTGGGGTTTTTATTTTTTGCTAAATTAACAAAAAAAGACCAAAAAGTTTGAAAAAAATACACCTTTTTCTTTGTTTCTGTTATAAAAGTTTGCAAATAAATAATTGTTCTTCATAAATTTAGGCCAAAATGTATTTTACTACATGTCTTTGGTGAAAATAACCCAAATTAGTATTTATTATTTAGTCTGTAGGAAAGTTATAGAGTTCACAAACTATGGGATATATCTGAATATTGATCAATCCTGAAGTACTGACGGCCAATCTAATTTCTTGAGGTCCAACAATGTCAGAACAGTACAGATATCCCCCCAATGACCCCTTTTTGCAAAGTAGACAGTCCGACGTACTTCATAAGAGACATGGCGAGTTTTTTGAAGTTGTAATTTTTTTGTCATAATTTTTCGGAAATGAAGAAATAAAAATGATTTTCACTTTTTTTTTTTTTTTACATACTGTCACCAGTGCGTTACAGTGTCATCATATAACTGGCATGGCGGTGATCAGAAACACTGACTGGTGACAGTACGAAAAAAAAAAAATGTTAATTTAAAAAAAAAAATGTTAATTTTTTTTTTATTTTTTATTACGTTTTTTTCTCTTTTTTTAAGATTTTTTTTTCATATTTCACTATGACAAAAGTAGTATAATGTTACCATAGTAACATTGTACTACTTTGGAGAAGTGATCTATATATATTTTTTTTTTACAAAATTTGCTTATAGCAAAGAATTACTTTGCTATAAGCAAGCATTTACCTGAATGAAATCGATTCATTCAGGATTTTTTTTTTTCTTAACTGTGATTTGGCCACAGCTAATCACATGACACAGCTGGGCTGTGATTGGCCCAGCTTGTGCATGTGATCGCTGTGACCATTCACAGCTAGCCACACTTGTATACAATGGATACTGGCAATGGGGCCGGAACACAGATCTGTCATCGACCGTGTCCGAGGTACACGGCTGCTGACAGACTGCGCTGCTGCGCGACTCTGCTGGCATGCAAACTGCGCATGCCTGAAAGGATGCCATATGGCGTCCACCCGGAGGGACGAGGGTTTTTGCTGGCTGCCATTCGGCCATAGGCCGGGCGGGAACCGGTTAAAGAGTCCAGTGGCGGCATGCTTTACACCGCTGCATCTGAAGCTTTGCATTGCACTTGGTGATATAAGGCTTGGATGCAGCTGCTTGACCATGAAAACCCATTCCATGGAGCTCTCTATGCACTGTTGTTGTGCTAATCTGAAAGCCACACGAAGTTTGGAGGTCTTTAGCTATTGACTCTGCAGACAGTTGGCGACTTCTGCACACTGTGTGCTTCAGAATGCACTGACCCCGCTCTGTCATTTTACATGGTCTAGCACTTCATGGATGAGTTGCTGTTGTTCCCAGTTGCTTCCACTTTGTTACACACCACTAACAGTTTGCCTAGGTGCTTGATTTTATCCTGTGATTTGAAGGGGTGTTCCAATACTTTTGGCAATATAGTGTGTGTGTATATATATATATACAGTCATGGCCGAAATTGTTGGCACCCTTGATATTTCTCCAGGAAATCATGTATTTCTCACGAAACGTATTGCATTAACACATGTTTTGCTATACACATGTTTATTCCCTTTGTGTGTATTGGGACAAAACAAAAAAAGGGAGGAAAGAAAGCAAATTCGACATAATGTCACACAAACCTCCAAAAATGGGCTGGACAAAAGTATTGGCACCCTTTCACAACTGCGGATAAATAAGAATGTTACAAGCATGTGATGCTCCTGTAAACTCACCTGGGGCAAGTAACAGGTGTGGGCAATATAGAAATCACACCTGAAAGCAGATAAAAAGGAGAGACGTTCACTTAACCTTTGCATTGTGTGTCTGTCTGTGCCACACTAAGCATGGACAACAGAAAGAGGAGACGAGAACTGTCTGAGGACCTGAGAACCAAAATTGTGGCAAAATATCAACAATCTCAAGGTTACAAGTCCATCTCCAGAGAACTAGATTTGCCTTTGTCCACAGTGCGCAACATTATCAAGAAGTTTGCAACCCATGGCACTGTAGCTAATCTCCCTGGTCGTGGACGGATGAGGAAAATTGATGAAAGATTGCAACGCAGAATAGTCCGGATGGTGGATAAGCAGCCCCAAACATGTTCCAAAGACATTCAAGCTGTCCTGCAGGCTCAGGGAGCATCAGTGTCAGCGCGAACTATCCGTCGACATTTAAATGAAATGAAACGCTATGGCAGGAGACCCAGGAGGACCCCACTGCTGACACAGAGACATAAAAAAGCAAGACTACAGTTTGCCAAAATGTACTTGAGTAAGCCAAAAGCCTTCTGGGAAAACGTCTTGTGGACAGATGAGACCAAGATAGAGCTTTTCGGTAAAGCACATCATTCTACTGTTTACCGAAAACGGAATGAGGCCTACAAAGAACAAAACACAGTACCTACGGTAAAATATGGTGGAGGTTCAATGATGTTTTGGGGGGTTGTTTTGCTGCCTCTGGCACTGGGTGCCTTGACTGTGTGCAAGGCATCATGAAATCTGAGGATTACCAAAGGATTTTGGGTCGCACTGTAGGGCCCAGTGTCAGAAAGCTGGGTTTGCGTCCAAGATCCTGGGTCTTCCAGCAGGACAATGACCCCAAACATACGTCAAAAAGCACTCAGAAATGGATGGCAAAGAAGCGCTGGAGAGTTCTGAAGTGGCCAGCAATGAGCCCAGATCTAAATCCCATTGAACACCTGTGGAGAGATCTTAAAATTGCTGTTGGGAAAAGGTGTCCTTCCAATAAGAGAGACCTGGAGCTGTTTGCAAAGGAAGAGTGGTCCAAAATTCCGGGTGAGAGGTGTCAGAAGCTTATTGATGGTTATAGGAAGCGACTGATTTCAGTTATGTTTTCCAAAGGGTGTGCAACCAAATATTAAGTTAAGGGTGCCAATACTTTTGTCCAGCCCATTTTTGGGGTTTTGTGTGACATTATGTCATATTTGCTTTTCTGCCTCTGTTTTATATTTGTTCCAATACATACAAAGGGAATAAACATGTGTATAGCAAAACATGTGTTAATGCAATACCTTTTTTGTGTGAAATACTTGATTTTCAGGAAAAAATATCAAGGGTGCCAACAATTTCGGCCATGACTGTATATATATATATATATATATATTTTTTTTTTTTTTTTTTTTTTTTTTTTTCCTCAGAGTCTTTTGTACTGGGTCCTGGAGCCCGGAGGATTTGTAGAGTTTTGGGTAGTATAAAGCCTCCATTCCTAGGTCCCCATGTTACCTGGTAACCAGATCTCATTATTACTCTCATCTTATATATGTGAGCTAATTGGTGCTAGAAACTCTCTATTGCTCTCTCTGCTGTGAGAGCTTTCTTCTGAGTGTAAAGACTGAGTGCTGACAGGCTTGTTTGTTTTGGGGAATCTATTAAGGGGCACTCTGTTAGTTTGACCTGAGTTTAGTTAGTTCAGACAAGCAGATGATTTGTTTGTTTTATGCTATGAAGTTGTGTTGCTGCCTTGCTGAAATAATGTGCTGGGCAAACCTGCTTGGACTGTATCAGTTGTCTCTGTCCCATGTATGGTCTGCCATTTCTAAAGTTGAGCCTTTCACTTTTACAATAAATATATATAATGCAGCCAGCACATCTAATAGTGATCTACCACATATATAATTTTTGTTTGGGGGTTTACAGCAATAAAAACCTGATAGGGGTTTAAACACTTTCCTACTCTATTTCATAGCAAAAAAGATTGGGCTTTAGAAATACTTTAAAGCTGCACTCCAGGATACCTGAAAATTGTTGCAGCTGTTTAATATGCATATGAGAAAGCTTAGTATTGCTAAATGTATAAAAGTAGAAAAATACCTTTGATAAATCTTTGATGGCATTGGATAAATCTGTGATGGCATCGCACCTACATGTTTAACCACTTGCCTACCAGGCACTTATACCCCCTTATTTACCAGGCCAATTTTCAGCTTTCAGCGCTGCCGCACTTTGACAATTGCGCGGTCATGCAACATTGTACCCATATGAAATTTTGATCATTTTTTTCTCACAAATAGAGCTGTCTTTTGGTGGTATTTAATCGCCGCTGGGCGCTTTACTTTTTGCGCTATAAATAAAAAAAGTGCAAAAAATTTGAAGAAAAAAAAAAGTTTCTTTGTTTCTATTATAAAATTTTTCAAACAGGTATTTTTTCTCCTTCACTGATGTGCGTTGATGAGGCAGCACTGATGGGCACTGATAGGTGGCACTGATGGGCACTGATAGGCAGCACTAAAGGGCACTGATAGGCAGTACTAATGAGGTGGCACGGATAGGCGGCACTGATAGACAGCACTAATGAGGTGTCACGGATAGGCGGCACTAATATGCAGCACTGATAGGCGGCACTGATAGGTGACACTGATGATGGGTACTGATAGACGGCACTGACTGGCATCACTGCTGGGCACTGACTGGCGGCACTGACTGGCACAACCCCTGGGCACTGACTGGTGGCATTGACTGGCAGCACTGGTGGGTGGCACTGGTGGGTGGCACTGGTGGGCAGCACTGGTGGGTGGGCACAGGTGGGTGGCACTGGTGGGCACAGGTGGGTTGGCACAGGTGGGTGGCACTGCTGGGCACAGGTAGGTGGCACTTCTGGGCACAGGTGTGTGACACTGCAGAGTGGCACAGGTGGGTGCACTGCTGGGCACAGGTGGGTGCACTGCTGGGCACAGGTGGGTGCACTGCTGGGCACAGGTGGGTGATCTGCTGGGCACAGGTGGGCGGAGCTAGTGGGCGCACTGCTGGGCACAGGTGGGCGGAACTTGCGGGTGGTACTGCTGGGCACCGATCATCAGGGCACTGATCATCAGTGCCCTGATGATCGGTGCCGATCCCCGCTCTGACAACTGCCGGTTCTCGGCAGTACTTTCCTCACGATCTGACAGCGTGAGGAAAGTGCAGCCGAGAACCGGCACTTGCATTTCCCTCTGATCAGCGTGTCATTGGACACCGCTGACCACGTGGTAAAAGGCCGCTGTGATTGGCCTTTTACCACATCACGTGATCAGCTGTGTCCGTAGGACACAGCAATCACGGAGATCGCCGGGTGCGCGCCCCCTGGGGAGCGCAGGAGAGCGCGTTCTGGGAGGCCGTCATATGACGTCCACTCAGAACTGGCCGGCCGCAGTGCAGCCGTCATTCGGCTATCTGCGGTCGGCAACTAGTTAAAACAGCATGACCTCCATGGGAATTATATTTGTGAATAGGCATCATTACTGTGGTGGGTATGTTTATACTTGAAAATTACTATTCACTGCATTGTGTGTAAACAGTACATTATTATACCTTCTATATGTAGCCCCCACAGGGGGCACTTGATAATGCTTGCCTTCAATGGTTGCCCTTACCTTGCAAGCCTCCCGACACCTCTGACACTCTGGGTTCAGACACTATGAATTAATAATGCAAGAGACACAATTCTTTAGTAACACCTGTATGTTAGGCTCATTCAAAAGAGTAGGCCACAGAATGGAGGTTTAGGAGGTACATCCCCAGTGAACACATAAAAGCAAAACACTGATAAAATGGAAATAACTAAAATTGCAATGGTTAACACTGCAACACAGCAGGAAGGGGAAGAAAAGGTTTTTTGACTTATCAGCTTCCTCTGGGCTACCAGCGTTACAACAGGGAAAGCAAAAAATTATATATATATATATATATATATATATATATATACATATATTGGCATAAATAGGTATAGACACCCTAATAATGAATAATAAAGACTTAGATGCAAAGAGGTCCCTTTAACTAGAAATAGCAACTTGAGTCCTCAGATGTTTAACGTTCCTGATGTGATAGTAGCTTTTGTCTTCTGCTAGCAATGGTGGGGCTCATATACAGTAGTGAGTAATGTTAAGTCAATTAAGATAACAGATAGACTGTGGTAAATGCTCAAAGCAAAGATCTCCTGGTACTGAGATGTAAAGGTGTTTGCATGCAGTGTCTCTAGATTGTTGTCAGAAAAATGTTGGACATCTGCCCGTTCAGCAATCCCACAGATAGCTTTTGCACAGGCTTCTTGGCTGTTCGCAAGGAAATACAGAGCTACAGGCTGTCAGCGTGACAAGCAGAGATGACAGGCTGAAGACTAGATAGTGACAGTTCCAATGCAGAGAAGCTGATGCGATCCCAGTGTGGCGATCGGTGTCACCGCAGTGCTGAACTGGTATGCAGAGTCCCACAGTAGTAGCCAGCAAACTATCTCTGGAGGAGAATAGCAGTCCCCCTATTCACAGCTCTGAATCCTGGGCCAAGAGAGCTAGTCAGTCCCATGCTGTAGAATATATAAGCTTTCCCCGTGTCTCTCTGTATTCAGCTCTCTCTGCTATTTGTAGTCCAATCGGCACTCAGGAACACAGCATGTACTGGCTATAAAACTACAGATCCCAGGATCCTCAGCAGTACAAGAACTGTATTCACTCTGCTAACAGGAAGTGATGTAGCCATCCAAGTACTGGGCACTAGGGGGGAAAAGGATGAATTGTAGTCCCATTTGTAGATGTCCTTAGATGGCTTAATGATGTAGCTGACACCTGGCTACATATATATCACCTACCCCCTTAAATATTAAAAAATAAACATACTTTCAATAATGAAATTGAAATTAATAATAATATATAAGCTTGTATGTGGCTGTGGAGAGGTGCGTTTACTGTAACACAGTGAATGTATCTACATAACCTGCCTTTTTCAGGCATGGATGGGCATGAAAGACAGAGACCAGGAAGCGTGTCAATCACAGTGTGAGGTCATGGTTGGAACGTGGGAAGTCCCCTGGCCTATAACTCAAAAAAATCAATGGGAGTGAGCAGATCAGTCTGATGCTGGAGACCTGCCAATCACAGCGAGCAGCAGCATGAGGAGACGTTACAAGACCAATGGCCAGAGGAATAGCAAGGATCCCAGCCACTGGTCTTGTAAAAAGAAACTGCAAAGTGAAAAAAAAAAAAAAAAGAAGGGATGCCCTTCGAAACGCGTCAGCTGTACTTGGAGTGTCTACCCCTACGATGTGACTCTCACAGGTTTCACATTTCTAAAGTTCCTTTGAGGACTTGCATGCTTGATTTATTTCGTTGTTTGTGAGTATCATTCTGAATTTAACCTCCTCGGCGGTCTGATTATTTCCGTTTTTTTTTTTGTACTGAAAGCTGTACTATTTGTTTACATGGAAATATGTCGTTTTTTATTGTGGGCTGTAATTTTTAGGAATAACTCACTGAAATCTGCCCGAACAAGAGTCTAGTAAACATCTCGGGTAGGATAAAATTTGAAACACACGAAATCATAAAATATAATTTAATAAATAATCATAAAAAATAATAATATAATAATAATAAATTTAATTCAATAATATAATCAGACCAAAAACACTGAAATTTGAAATACAGAGGCAAATTCGCACATCACTGAGCAAAGTCGCAAAATCGTTTTCAGTGTCTGATGACGAATTTCCCCGCGAATCATTATCACTCAATTCTGCAAGTGGTTCTGATTTACTATCGCTGTTCTCTAGCTGGTCTAAAACCGCTTTTGACGTAAAGGGACGCTTTTTGGACGCAATAGACTTTTCTACGTTTCCAGGCAGAAAGAAGTCAAAATGCAGGCAGGGCATAGGACAAAGCAGTAGGGACAAAATGTATGTGAAATGCATTGAAACAGCAATGTTTTACTATGTAATAGTCATTTTAAAAAAAACGCTGCAAGGTATTCCCGAGTGTAGCTCGGGGTAAAGTTTCAGGTACAAGCGGTAACCCTGAGCTACACTCGGGAATACCTTGCAGCGTTGCTCCAGGATCTCTTCTTCACTTACCTTGACCTTCGCTCCCACGATGTCCCTCCTGCAGTGTCCCCGGCCATGTGCTCCAGCCGATCCATCTTCTGGGTTCCGTTCCCTGCGACGTAGGGACATACAGGAATGGAACTTAATTTAAATTTTAAAATGTGAAAAAGTGACATTCACTAAATACACTAAAATCACATAGTATAACATTACTGTATCAAACCATTTCACATTAATTTTATCCCTACTGCTTTGTCCTGTGCCCTGCCTGCATTTTTACTGTTCTTATTGCCTGGAAACTGAGAAATGTCCATGGCGTCCAAAAAAGCGTCCCTTTAGGTCAAAAGCGGTTTTAGACCAACTAGAATACAGAGATAGTAAATTAGAACTACTTGCAGAATTGAGTGATGATTTGTGGGGAAATTCGTCATCAGACACTGAAAACGATTTTGCGACTTTGCTCAGTGATGTGCGAACTTGGCGCTATATTTCAAATTTCAGTGTTTTTGGTTTGACTATATTATTGAATTAAATGTATTATTATTATTATATTATTATTTTTTTATGATTATTTATTAAATTATAATTTATGATTTCATGTTTCAAATTTTAACATACTCGGGATGTTTACTAGACTCTTGTTCGGACAGATTTCAGTGAGTTATTCCTAAAAATTACAGGCCTACAATAAAAAAAAATACATATTTCCATGCAAAAAAATGTACTGCTCTGAGCACAGAAATATTGACATAATCAGACCCCTAGGGAGTTTAAGGGACAGGTCCATGACGCCCTAGAATCTTAGTAAGTCTTCTCAGTATTGTTCAACCTGGAGGGCATCTTGTGTCAAAAAAGGGTTTATGTAGTGGATAGGGACAAAGGGAAAATGAGTATTGCCATGAGTGTTTTTAACTCATATCGATCTCTTTTAAAAAAGACAAATATATCCTAAAGCTGGGCTTTATGCTTTACCGATTACGATTGGGATTGTTCATTTACATATGAACTAACCTTCCAATGGTCTTTTTTCCCCATCAATTTTATCCTGGGCAACAACTTTAGACCAATAGTATTAAATATGTACGTAGTATAGAATGGAAGGTCTCTCTGTTACTACACAGAAGTGTGTGAAAAAATGGTCCACCTTTTTTTTTTTACGTATATCATCCTTTTACAAATTGAACCAATATTTTGATTGGTGAATATTAAAACAGAATGCTAGATGAAGGCAAGGCTAAGAAATTAGGTAAAAGAATACACAGAAACGAACCTTTGACCTGCACATTAGTGTCTATGTGTACATCATAAATCAGGAAACCAATAGGTCTGTAACTGTTGAACATTCCATAAAAGGTAAAGCCTACCATCTGTCTGTTTCAAATAAAAGCCCTGGGATTACACAGATATTTAAATGATTTCTTTGCAATTTAGTCAGTTTTGTGAAGATCTCATCTCCCCCATATGTGCTATGTGGTTTAATGTTTCAGAAGAGCTCACATGTCTTCTGGAAGTGTAAACAGGGCGGATGTTGAGTTTTCTTTCATTTTGCGGTTGAGCAGCTGTGGTTTCCCTACCTAAGGTCAAAATTAAAGGCTAATATGTTCAGTGATAGAAACTCACATGAGGTATATAAATAGTGCATACCATTGTCATGTTGAAGCAGTTGCTAATGTCTAATCCATTCATGTGGACAGGGTTTTGCCTCCTTTAATTAAGGGAAAAGGAATGGCCTTTTCTGACAAGCAACACTGGATCCCCTGCTACTACAAGAGCAGGCTACAATTTTATAGGCATTTTTTGTAGATTTTTTTAAATATTGTGCTTAATATCCAAAATTTTCCAAAAGCATCACTTTCTATCCCTGTAACAATAATCACCAGAACAAAAGGAGAAAAATAAATCTACTCTGCAGAGATAAAGACAGCAATAAAAATCTAACTGTTATGCACCCAAAACTAAAACTAAAAGATTTAAAGTGTATTTCCACTTTGTAGATAAACTGGGATCACTTTATATTTGTTACATGTTCCATTTAAAATAGCATAACTGTTTAAAAATTGATGCGTACCTTTTTAAGTACCTTTTACTTGCCTAAGTCCTCATGCACACTAGACGTTTTTACAGCGGCTGTTTT